GCATGTGTGGCCCATTCTGTCCAGCACACTGAAGTATCCCCTGATCTTAATCAGAACAGGAATGTAATACTATGAAGGCAACCTGATTTATTATTAATGACCATCCCTCTAAAGGGGGGGTTGGGTTCAAAACATGTCTACAAAGTTTTCTACAAAGGATTGACAAATTACTCAAATGAATCCTGTAGAGCATGAGGATGTTTGTATCAACATGATGGGACTTCTAGACATTCCTCTCCTAGGGGAGACCTGTCTGCAGGACTAAACGCGTGCCCTGACACATCCAGGGCTTAAACATAAAGAAAAACCAGGGTGACAAAGACCAGATTGCTTTGTTATGTTTCATGTAAACATGTGCTAAAAGTAAAGTTAGAACAACGCTTTAACACTGTGTGCAATGCAAACCTTCCCTCTGCTGAGATTGATGAACTTCCTTCTGTTAAAATGAAATCAAACGTTATCAAGTTTATTGTTTTCCTGTTTCTCTTTTTCCGTCTCTAACTATTCCAGATTCTTCTGCCGAATTCAACAGTTCTGGTATCAAAACGGAGGGTTATGCTATATTTTTTGGTAATTTCTGCTATTATAATTTTTAAACATTAAGCTTTTCATGACATTTTTTGGCCCATCGAAATTAATGGGCTTCTGCTAAAATTCTACTAAAACTTAAGCTACTTTGCCCTTTAACTACTTCTACATACATTCAGATAGAAATACCATAAAAATTTAAAAACGTTTCCGCACCCTTCGGCAAGTAATGTTTAACTCAGCTTTTTTCTATCTTCTACAGTTTTGCTTCAGTGAAGCTTCAAACTATTTAAGATTTTTTAAAGATTTTTGGTTTTATAATGGAACTCAATGACAGAATCTTTGTGCTCCTAGAGTGAGCCACTCTAGCGCTTTCAAACATTTTACTTTTAGCAAAAAAACTTCTTACTCACTGAATGTTTAAACTACCCATACAAATTATACACCAACCATACGTATTTTTGTAAGTTTTCAGGAAATGTAACCCTCCTTTGTGTGGGATTTACAGTTTTCCTACAGTTTGATATCAATTTATTAAACATAGTTCAACACACATTTTCATCCGTTTTTTCAAGTTTTTTCAATTTCACTCATATTTCACAGGGTGCTGTGTTTTTTCAAAAACAGCCCTAAAGCTTTGTTTCTCTATCCTTCATGAATTAAATGGTGCAAGAATTATATTGATACGACTTATTATGTCAGAGTTATAGGCATTTTTTCGGCACAAGATTGTACAGTACATGCGGTGAGGGGAGACAGTGGCTGAAAAGAACATATTTTAAAATGGATGCCTCTCCCAAATTATTTAATGTACAAACATGAAACTTTGTATGGAACATCTTCAGACCCTTCTAGCACTTATATTAAAGGAATTTTGCCATGCAGCTGGGTTGGATCTATTATAGTATTATTCTTCTGGTTTTCTGTCCTTTCTTCTCAGGCTACACGCCCATTAGAGTGTTGTGGCACATGTTGCTTTTCTAAACTTAAAAGTTTGTAAGCTTTTCTTATTGCTCATTCCTAACACTTTACCAAAGTTTGACTTTCCAAGTTTAGCTTATTTCTTATTAATTTTGTGTCCATATTTTACACTACTTGAACTTTTCAACACTTTAATTAAACTCCTGTCACACTAAGCTGCTCATTCAATACGACATTCCTCAATGTTTTAGTCTCTATCCTTAAACTAAAACTTTTATTTCTTCAACCAGATAAGATTTAAGTTTTTTTTGCTAATTTATTTAATGATTCTGCTTATTTAATACATTTCAGCCTATATTTTCAACACTGGCTTAATTCTGCTCTCTTTTTGGACAGGCTTAAAGCTTTTCTGTTTGCTGCTAATTCATAACAGGCCTTGCATGTTTCTGCTGTTGGCTTCAGCTTACTTGTGTTTTTTTTTTTTAACAAAGAAATTAGGCATTTATCTTTTCTTCTATTTCATATCATTTCAGCAGTTTCTGCCAATTTCAGCTAACAGTTTAGCGTACAGCATTTTCACGGCTGTTTTGCAGGTACAGGTTTTTTTCTAGTTTACTTAAATATCACAGTCAATCCACTCTGGATTAGATCTTCTGTTGGCTGAATCCAGGTCTGGTTTTATATGAAGTACACCAGAAAGAAAAACAGGCTCTGCAAATTGAATCTCATCACAACAGGAGAGAAACTTTGTCCACTTCTACGAGGACACAGCAGGTGGTGAACTTAGCTTACCCGGTCCATGATGTCCAGCTCGCAGCGGAGTCTCTGGATGGCGCTGCCAATCTTGAGCAGCTGGAGCCGCAGAGCGTCATCTATGGGCAGACAGGCAGCCACCCTGTAGGAGAAGTCTGACACAAACAAGGCCGAGGAAGAGAAGACGGATGACATAAAACAGGAGACAGCAAACACAGCACAAACAAAAGCCAGACATCCAGGGATGTGCATGATCGATGAGTAACAAACTGAGGAGTGGCTGACCTACGGCGTTTGTCGGGAGCGAATCATCTTTTAGATTCTCATCCCATTCGTGGAGCTGTTTTTTCACTCTGTTCATGAGGGACTCCTGTGAGGTTGACACAAAGGAAAAAAAAGTTTACATTCACTTAGGTGAGATGTTCATTTGTGAAAGATGGTGCATGTTGTGTCAGCAGCCTGCTGCACTCACAGAGTCATAGAGGGAGTACACCCAGGGTGGCCATGGAGTCAGGCTGGCACTGTGAAACTTTCTCTGTAAACGGCAACAAATCAACCGCTGGTGAATCTAAGCTATGCAGATTTTACCTGAACATCTCCAAGTTCTACTTAGACTACAGGCGTACTTGAACATCACAGAAATACATCACTATGCCTTTAAGTAGCAACTGATGCTGAGCAGACCTCTGCTATTTTTTCAAGTAGAAAAAAAAAAGAATATGAAACATGTGGTGTGCATTTCTATTCAGCCCTCCTTTATTCTGATATTTCTAAACAAAACTCAACAGACATCAGAGGTCCCCTTAAAAGTAAAAAAGGTCCATCTGTAGTAGATTTTTGAAGGCTTCTGAGGTCTGAAGGACGCCACGTAGGTGACAGGGCCAATATCTGGAGCGATTACAGAACCCTGGACATTTATTTGCAACACAAACATTGGACCAGAACCGTAGAGATAGGAGAGTTCTGCTAGCGGTTAGGTTGCTGGGGCATCCAATAGTTCAGCCCCCTTCAAAATACAGGCAGATCTGTGGCAGGCCCGATACAATTACAGAAAAGCTTACTGGTATTCCATATTGGGTTTTTTTTGTGCCTATTTCAAAATCATATTAAATTGACTAAATAATGTTTATAGATGCAACCTCCATCCATTTCTACTGCAATGCCCTGCTAACGCCTATAGTCTTGCTATCTATCCATCTAAATGGCTCTGCAATGGACATAACCTGTAACACACCATTACCATGGTGACACAGCATCATGCAGGATTGCGACTAAAATTCCTGGTAACTGACATACGCATGGCTCTCCATTAAATCTAAAAGCACATATTCACACAGACTACACTTTCAGATTCTATTTGTATTATTTTGGTATTTGTGTAGAAACTCTTCAGCAAGGTGATGTACATAAACAGTTTGTGCATCATTGCAGCTAACATCCTGTTTCCAGCTAAGGGCCCAAATCCAAACTATGAGTTGTGTGGATTTAATTTAGGTCAATCTGCAGGATACTCCAAGTGTCTAATAAATTAATTCTCCTGGTCCTGGGATGAAGCGAAACATTCATCTGACCTGCTGATTCAACCAATGCTGAGCCTGTTTACAGCTCTTAGCTCGGAGTTTGGAGGCGGGGGACATGTGGACCCTGGACAAGGACGTCAGTTGCACGACAGAGAGTGGGTCTGGCAGGATTCGTTCTGGGAGGATCTGCACTTTGGCTTGTTTGATTCTAAAAGGGACACACAAAGGGATGCATGACAGGAGGAGGTTGATGTTAGAACAAAGGCAGCAATGAGCTATTAAATGTCTAAAACTGGCATAAAACACATTTAATGCAAACTAAACTAATACAATGCAATATTCATATCATTGAAAAGCACCAAGATTTGATTTAAGTGAGCAATTGTTTAAATGCTCTCAGTTCTGGAGTTCTAACTATTATAGGAGCTTCTAACAAGATTATGACCAACAATTTATTTGAATTATACAATCAGAACTAAAAAAAGATGGAAATATTTCTTAATAAAGGCTGGTTTGTATTGGAAGGAACACAATTATTTCCTGGCTGAAAGAGGATGGTAGTTAAAATGATCTAAAACAGTGACGAAAGCCGCCTTAATCCAGAACCTCTTTACAGAAAACAGAAAAATAGACAGACTGAAAAAAACCAGTATATCCATGCTTTATTTTATCCACCTAAAATAACTACATTTGAAAAATGTTTAAAGGGATGTTTAATTATTTCATATCGTACCTTATGGCATGACCGGATTCTGTTTTTCTATTGGGATCTCTCCCAGTTGCTCAGATCAAAGGCATTTTTCATTTTTTGGTATTTAAGTCTCTGCTGGTGCTCAATTCCTGACAGACTGTGAGCTCATGAATACTTTTTTTTTTTTTGGCCCAATATGGCTCTTTGAAAAGTTTGGGTTGCTGACCCCTGATGTAAGAAAAATGAAAAGCAAACGTAGAGTGCAAGAAAAACATGGGAAAATAAAGAAAAAAATAGACTCTACTGCACTTGAGAACTTCTGAGGAATCACACCAACAGGTAATGTTCATTTTTAAAATGACTCAGGTTGCCATCTGGAAGAAACTACAACTGAACTCATGAAGATCATGTATGAAATCTTGAGGTGTTAGACTGCCCTCTAGCTGTGAACTAACCAATTAAATTAAGATTCAGGAAGGATAGTTTATTGAAACTTATATAGATTCCTCAGTAAATAACTTTAAGGTGCCTTATATTAAATTCAAATGCTAGATTTCAGGGTTTAGTGTCTGACCAGGGATTTTGTTCTATATTCTCTAATTAGGTTTCTATTACAACCTAATAAGAAGAATATAATACTGCACTCTGTAAGACTACTGTTATTCTGTTATTTGTGGCTCCCCACTGATCGGAGAGGGGAAGTGAAAAAAAGCATTCAGTCCCTGACTGAATGCTTTTATCCCATTATATGGGATAAAACAAACATACCCGTCTGCTTGAGTTCTTATCTCATGGACCTTAAATCTCTGCCTCCCAACAGCTTTCACTTTCACAGTTTCAATGCCATACTCCTGCTCCTCCCTGTATGCGTATATCTCCGCCGTCGTTCCAAATTCAGCCTCCGGTTCTGCTGCATCACTGCAAGCACATAAAGAAACTCTGACGGACTGTTGATCCAGAATGCCTTTAAGATTAAAACAAAGTCTAAAAAATGGCATCATTTCATTCAATATAGCAGATCCCGAATTTCCCCCACTACATGCCTGTGAGCAAGCACAGCAAAGGTCCGGTCCTTCTGAATAACGCTACGCATCATGCTGACTTCCTGCGGCCTGAAGAGCTGCAGGGGCAGCGTCTGACCCGGTACCAGCATCACGGCTGTGTGAGGCAGCACAGGGATGGTCTGGCAGCTGTCGTCATCATGCACTGTGCGCCCGTGAAACTCCTCCATGTCTGAACCCAGGTACTACAATCAAAGGGGTTAGCATTTATAAAAAAAAAAAAATAATAATAATAATATTTAATAAAAGGAAACAAAATTTAACAAGAGGCTTGTGGTAACTGTGGAGGAACAGAAGGAATACACAGCTCAGGTGAGAAAATCTGTCATTTTGATGGACATTCGCTATGGAAAAATGTATGGGATAAGGGAAAGAAACTTGGTGAAACTAGGTGAAAACAAAAATCATAAAGAATCCTGTTTGTAGTTTGCAACTAGCTATGTGGTAAAAATAGCATCAATAGGTAAAAGGTTGCATCAGAAAACTAACCCTGCATATCCTCCTGAACACATCATCCCCACTGTTTCACATAGTGGTGTCAGCATGATGCTGTGGGATGCTTTTCAAGAACAAAATGGGAAAATATTGATGGAGTATAGATTGAAATAAACATATCTGTGAAGATTCTTAGTCATCCAGGTCATGGTGAAGCTTGAAAGGTTCCGTTTAGGCAACCGGACATTTTGCCTCTCATCCAAGAGGCTTCTTCAGTTCTAACTTATGATGGGGAGCATGCTCTTCAGAGTGGTTTCAGTCACAAGCCTCATTGAAGTGTGAGTCAGGTGAGGGCAGGTGAGAGGTGATTCTCCTGGGTATTGTTCCTAAATGTGCTTTGTAAGTAGGATGAGGGTTATGTCTAAGACGACTGCCTCTGTTTAGAGATATTTTTTCCAGGTTAACCATCTTTCTTCCTTAGCAATAATATGGACAATATTGTCCACCTACAGTAATAAATAAATAAATCTCAGTACTCCCTGCAACTAGTTAGAACTGAAGAAGCGTCTTGGGTGAGAGACGAAACTTCTTCAAGAAAACTTCACATCCAAATGCCTAAACTGAAACTTTCAAGCTTGATGGATATAAAAAGAACTGAGTTATAAAAGAAAACCAATTAGAGGCTGAAAAACCTTTGAGCCAGGAAAGGCCCCACATTATATTCTGGGGTTTAAACATATATTGCATGTATATGGTACATATCAATTGTACTATAAACGTATTATTTCTTTAGCTTTGTTTATTTTATATGTTTACCATCTTCGTTTAAGGAAATGTGGATGGAGGGGGAGGAACATTTTACAATAGAAGCCTAAAAAAAAGATTTGCAGAAAGGAGTGATGACGTGAATCATCAGCTGCTGCTCACAGCATGAGATGTGGGAAGACTGGGGTCAAAGGTGATCACGTTGGGCTTTTCCGCCTCGTCGCTGTCTCGGTCCTCAGTCTCCATGTTATCTTCCTCCTCTTCTTCCTCGTTGTCTGTCCAGTAATTGAAGACAGGGAGAAGTGAGTTAGTTCTCTTCTGCATCATCACTCATCCACAGCTACTGAAACCTGTCTATAAGAGCCAGAGGGCTGCTTTCAAAAGGTAAACAAAGAGAGAAAGTGAAAGGGATCAGAGATGGAAGAGTGGTGGCTGTAGAAGCTGAGGATGGCCTGGGTTCAGGCTCTTTTATCAGGAGGAGGACATGAACCGTCTCCTGCTGACCCTGTCAGAGCTTTCTCTGCAGCTCATGGTTACCTGCTAGAAGCTGCAGGTGGTTCCCCATGTTGTTGTTAACGTTATCTTCGCCTCCGCCTCCCTCGTCAGCCATATCCCCTGTGTTTACAATGCCGATTCTTCTTCTACGGCTTCTTCCCTGTGCAGCGCCAACAGGAAGGCAAGGGCGCCACCTGGTGAAGGCAAAGATGAAACAAACGAATTCTTGTCAGCATTAAAAAAACTGGGTCAATAATAATTTATTTAATATTTTTACACTATTTTATTATTTGTATTATTATTTCAACTAAAAAGGTTAAAAAAATTGAACCCATTAAATTCTTAATTAAATGTCCTTAAACATCCTCTATATCAGACACCAGTACTAGAGTGTCTTCTGTCAGAAGTTTCTACTAACCAGCTGCATTCCTGCCTGCAACCATCAACACAACTTGCTGAAATAAGAGTTACACTTATTTTCCAATTGGGCTGAACTGAACTATCATACAAATACTAGCAATCCTATTGTGTTACTATTAATAACTATCATAGAAAGCATAAAAAGAGTAAACACAATTAAAAACAATAGGAAAATGAAAGTAATGAAATAAGACATTGAAATGACCACATTTTCCCCACCCCCTGAGTGTGACATTTTGTCGCATACTAAATACCACCTTTAATCTAGTTAATTCACAGTCCAAGTCCTTTGGCACAGAGGTTGGTCTTCGGTTGTTAACGTTTTGTTACCGATTCGTACTCAAATTTTTCTCTGAACTACGACTAGGCTATTCCACCACATAAATATGTTCTGGTAAGCTCAGGATCACTGGGAGCAAAGCCTCTATTCCAGTATTAAGTTTTTTACAGGAATATGCAGGTTGTTCCTTTACTGAACATCATCAACTCTGACTTCCCCTTTCCGGCATCCCTGCAGCATGTTTCCAACTATTTTCCAACAAAAGCTGTCTTTCAATTAACAGCTGTGTTTAAGCTGATATCAAATAATTACACCAATGTTAACCTGGTTTGGTAGTTGGATGAATTGTGAAGACATATTGCAGTTCCAGATTTTTTTTGGGGGTATCAGAGTAACGGGCATGAATACAAATGTAAAACTAGTTTTCTCATCTGATGGTTGCACAATTTATTTAACCCTGTAATGCCAAATGTATCGTATTTGATACATACGGTTTCTGAAATGTTTTGCATCTGACACCTTTTGCATAATTTAATGGCAAAAACTTTGCTCAAAATCCTATTGTACACAATCAGATATACCTGATAACAGAGGGCAGAAGACTACCCAAAAAATAATCTTGACTTATGGCTTAGTAATAAATTATTAGTATCAAAAATTTATTTGTTTTTTTCTTTTTGCATGTTTTGTTAAAAGGCAAAATAAGGACTTCAAACAAAAAAAAAAGTAATTTTCTGTTTTGTTTTATTCTTGAATCGGGCTTTAAAGGGTTAATGTCCCTCTGAACAGCCAAAGCCATGTAGTCTCTCTGCTTGACCTAAAGCTATTCAACCTAAACATAGTACTGAGCTCATTTGAGAACCTACATTTTGCTCATTAGATAACTGTGCAGAAATACTAATTGAATCAGGAGCTTCAATGTTCCCGATACTCTACAACCTAAGAGTATCAGTTCAATTAACAAGTTTTAAACATACCATCATTTGGACCCATGTTTTCTTTCAGGAAAAGCTATGATTTAAATTAATATATTTTAAGCTAATAAATTCACTGAAATAATTCTCAGGATATTAATTGATCTCCATGCCTTGGCCCCAGCCTTTAGAAGCTTCCCTGACTTTCACTTGTATAGGCCAAGTATAATTTTAAGGTCATACATGAAAAAGTCAGAACTGTTACTTGCCAATTAGCCTTAACCTCATTATAGTTGGTAATTTTGCATTTATAAGCTCAGTTGTACTTATTTGCTTATATTCTCATGTTTTCCTATGCTATGGTATTCTAATTAATGTAATTATGAAGGAAAAAAAAAAAAAACTTCCTTCAGGTCTTGATATGGTTCTGACTTCAAAGGGAGGCAGTCAGCCATCACCACCCTTCATACAATCGTCTACAGCACAGGTACTGCATGGGGGGGGGGGTCAAAAGTTCAGCTTGACTTTTTGTATTCCCCCCTGCAATTTTTGCCACTTATTGAAATGTCTTTATACTCACATTTATTCACACTGTAGTAAACAGATAAATGGAGGCAGATGTGCATTCAGCAACAGCTCTTTCAAGCTGAGCTGGGCACCGTTTCATTCACATCTATCCCATCAACCAGGAATCAAATACTTTCATCCCAGGGTGAAATTACTTTTGTTACATTACTCCTGGAAACCCAGTCAAGTGAAAAGGCCCATTTCCTTTAGTTTTACTCAGGCTGCCAATTTTCCCCCCTTTCTGTATTAGTCATAGGTCAAAATTTAAAACCAAGGGTTGAACCATTCAGTGTGCCAAGATCTAAGATTCATTTCCTGACATTTTATGATTTAGAAGACAATCTCATCCATCTTATAGAGACATTTTCCATCTCAAATCAGCTACCATGAAACCTGATTTCAATGAATGAGGCATGACTGTTTTTGAAATTTAACAGTGTTCATTTATTGTTCAATACACCACATAACAGTTTGCAAGTAAACAAGTATCATGGTCCATGAACAATGCAGCTGCACATCTGATATCCTTCCAGCATCTTTGCCTTCTTCCACTAATGCATCCACAGCTTGCCAGTTTCAGATGGAAAAGAAATCAGGACTTGACACAATTTCAGCAGATGCTTCAAGAGAGCCACTTCCTGGGTGAATGTGTCCATAGATGTGGAGAAGCTCAGATGGGGGTCACAGCTGGCAGGGATGAGGGCTTACTTTGACCTCTGCCTCATCTTTCTCCTTTTACGCTTCAGTCTATTGGAAAATAAAGAAAACCAGTTTACTTTCACTTAAAAATACATCGTCAAAATCTGATCAAGCAACTCTTATGTTCACCCTTAAAAGTATTAGTTATCAATATGCTTGAATAAAGAACCCCCAAACAATGGAACTTTGTTCATACGGTAGGGCCAAATCCATCGATTGCAACGTTCTTTAACAGCAGTCTAAATGCAATTTCTTTGGCCCTCAGGTAATATAATTTTAGTTGTAGGCCATCGTTCCCTTCTGCAGTTATGACCTTCATGCTCACTCTTCACGAGTTTGAATTAAACACTAGACATTTTGTACCATCCATGAATCAGTTTACACCCAATTCAAACCTATGTCTATTGGTTGCTATAAGATAAAACATTTAATCCTCAACTATATTTTCCACCTGGAGACCACCCAATTACTAAGCAGTTTGTGGGAGGTTTTTTCACTGTTTAAAGAATCCTCTGATACAAATAAACTAAGGGGAATAAAAGAACACAGCAGCAGGGAACAAATTGAATTTTGCTATAAAAAAAAAGCAAAGAGTTTAATTAAACCCCCTTTCAAAGTCACCCATATCATGCATGAGTCTCCCCAACTTGTCTCTGCTAGGGAAGTTGGATTAAAGTGCATCATGCAAGTAGGACATTTGAGTATTGCAGAACATCGAGGATTTAAGTTTGAAGGCCTGTGGTTTAAATGCTACCAGAGTCTGCTTTACAGCTACAGGCTCACCTTAGAACTTCCATCTTTAATACTGGGGTATTTTAGAGTTCTTTAGCATGCCAAAAGGTTTGGCAAAGGCTTTGTTATCAGGGAAGGGTTTTTCATTTGAAGAAATTAGCAACTCAATTTTAAGTATAGTTTTTCAATTACTATATGGGAAAACTTTGTTTTCCTATGCCCTATAAAAAGTGCAGCATTTCTCCTAAGGCAGTGGTTCCCAAAGATTTTCTTCTGGGCCCCCCTTTGGATTACAATAAAATTTCCGCGCCCCCCCTAGGGGGCGCGCCCCACACTTTGGGAACCACTGTCCTAAGGGGTCTCTTTCTGGACACATTCTATGCATCTTTATTTCCTTTACAGTGTACTGTGGTCTTACATTTGTACTTCATTGCTTATTAGCCTCTGCTTTACTACAGTCAGCTGAATTACCCCACAGTAATTTAACTTATTCATTTGATTCAGGTGTGTTGGAGCAGGGATGCATTTAAAGCAGGGGTGTCAAAGTGGTTCCAGAAAGGGCAGTGTGGCTGCAGGTTTTCTTTCCAACCAAGCAATAGCACACCAGACTCCAGTCATCTAATCAAAGGAGTCCAATCTGAACACGATGACTTGATGAGATGAATGGAGTCTGGTGTGCTATTGCTTGGTTGGAAAGAAAACCTGCAGCCACACTGCCCTTTGTGGAACCACTTTGACACCTGTGCATTTAAAGCCTGCAAATCTGTAGTTCTAGAGTTTCTGTAATTCTGAACCTACAAGGGTTGTACATTTGTCTTTTTTACAGTTAAGGCATTAAAAGCAGGATGCAATTAATACACTTTGTCAACATTTTCTACAGGCCATTAAATTAGAAAAACCATCTACTCTTCTAGTACAGGAACTCATTATAAACCACTCTACATGACATTTTCCTTAACCTAAAATGTACGTGTTAAGGAATGTTATGTTTAAACATTTGATGATATCGACATGACTACATTGGATGATTGAACTTTACCCATTATAGCTAATAAAGAATGACATAACTGCAATAATAAAATTGGCAGTATAAATGGATTGACGGTTAAAAGCTTACCTGCGCATGCGCTTCTTTCTCCACTAAAACGAAATAAACAGATTGAGTCAGCATAGTTTGATACTAAAGTAGTAATTAGGAAAACATGCTTTGTACAAATAGCATTTAGAGCTTTAAATATAACAAAAATAAAACATGGCGTTCCTCTTGCTAACAGCATGCAGTGAAGCAAGGGCCTTCTAATGCAGATATCGACATAGCTGGGAATTAAGTACCAGACTTTAACATCTAACATTAGCAATAAAGCAAAGAAATAGCAGCAGTGAATACTTTAAAGAAACGTGCTAACCGATAGGGCTCGAGTAAGCAGCAGAGGTGGAACAAGCTAGCAGCACAAAATACGACAAGAAACTTTCCTATAAAATACAAACACTGCTTCTTAGTCTTACCTTGGCTCTCATCGTGTGGAGACCTTTCTGTGAAAATGACACAAACAACTGGTTAGCAACTGCAGATGGTGGGTAAAAATCAAAGATTAATTTGGATTCTGTTTTCGGTAAATCTATGCGCCATACCTCAAAGCGAGAAGAGCAACGGAAAGAGGATGTGACGACGAGGGCGCACGGCTTTTATAAACTAATGACGTCATGCAAGACCGGTATTCTGGGAAATGTAGTCCTGGCGGATTAACTTTCATTGGGAAAATTAAAGCCGTTTTATTCGCCTAACGACTTCTCATAACCTTGTATAAAATGGAGAACTTTAAATGTTTATTATTCTCTACTCTAAAATAAATGTGTATGTGTGTTTTTGATTTTTTATGTACTTTTTTGATGAAATTCCCCATCAGGCTTTTTAGTTATGCGCACCAATTTAACAATATAACTCCTCTAATCACTGTTAATTTATGTGAATAAATAAGTGGGGAGTTGCGGCCTAGTGGTTAGTGCATGGAGTTTGTTTTCCGGATGCTCGGGTTGAGTCCCACTCCCACAGACTGCCACTCTGGGTCCCTGAGCAAAGACCCTTAACCCCACACTGCTCCCTGGGTGCTGCACAATGGCAGCCTACTGCTCCCCAAGGGGATTGGTTAAATGCAGAGGTTCATTTCTCCAATGTGAGATCAATAAAGTTCAATTATTATTAAATAGATTTTGTTTAGGGGAGCAATTCACTCTTTTGACACTTGGTTCAGTCGTAACATTATTCTAGTTTATCAACTGTTTGACAATACTCCACTATACTGTGTTATGAGGGGGTTCTCTCTAAATTTAATATTCCTATTATGGAGAATATGCAAATGTTTTAGGTGCTATTTCTATTGAGATGTTATTCAGACAGAGGTCAAGACTTTTCTCCTTCTCTGGATCTATCCTGCCCAAGACTTCATATCTGACATTGCTGTGAACTTTACTTTTTGCCATCTTCTCCCAGAATCTGTAATGCATTTGTTCTGGTTTTGTACTAATTTCTTTAGCAGCCTTTCTGTAACTATATACCTTCAAACATTTTAGAAAACTATATATATACCAGGGGGAAACATTTTCTGAGTTTCAACAACACAGTCAAATGTATTTCAAGTTCTTTTTATTTCTAAATCATCCATGATAGATTTCTTGTGCATAAATGTAAATGTTTAAAGAAGAAAACAAATTTTTATATCTTCTTTATTGCATCTGCCAAGTGGGTGATGTTTTTAGGATTTTATTGACATTATTATCGGATTGTGCCAAGGCACAATCCATTGACTTTTGCTGATGATCCAGATCAATCTATAACATTGTGAGATGGGGATACTTGATGGAACAAGCAGTTCTCCACTAAACCAGAAGGTAGCAGCAGTGACTTTTGAAAGCATCAGCATCGGACTCAAAAAGTAAACAGGAATTTTATTTAAGTCAAAAACAGAAAAAAGGGAACATTGTTGATTTGTTAGCAGGATCAATGAACAGATTTTAAGAAATAATTTTACCAGAGGTGTGCCTTATGCCAAGAAGGCTTGGTGGAGGTCTGTGCTCTTGCACTACTTTACTAGTATAACTTAATAGTTACATACTTTTCGATTTTTCACTCATCAAAAGGCAAAAAAAAAAAAAAAAAATGGCATATAACCAGGCGTATCAGTGTTCTGTTATGTTTTTGATGTTTTTTAAAGAAAAAGAAAAAAGTACTCCTGATTGTCATGTTTAAAGTTAGGGCCATTTTTAAAAGACAAGTTTTCTGCTTGCTCATTTACTTTGGACTAATTAGTAATAGTATAATGAATTAAGTTGTGTTCTTAATTTTTAAAAGCTAAATGGGAAAACTAAAAGAAAATTCATAAAATGATGGTAAACAATCTCAATACTTTCAGTCTATTTTATGTGATATTAATCTCTTGTCTGACTTCAAAAATAAATACGTCATATTCGGATGCAAAAAAGACTTTTAAGTTGTTTTTTTTTATGTTCAGTTGATACTCAATAGACTGCATCTGCTTCTTGTTGGTTACCATGGATACAGCCCAGAGGCTGGTGGTGATACCATGCTGACTGAGAAGCACAGATGTCTTAAGGAAGTCGTCTGGCTTGCCTGAGAACATCAGTCAAATCCTGTTGCCTGCATGATTTCCGTCAACATCCTCTGGGCCAGAGGGAAAAAAAAAAAAAAAAAAAAAAAGTTAAAACTAGATCCCCAGTATATTTTAGTAAGGTTTTATTTCACATACAAAAAAAAAAGATTGTGATGTAGAAAATTACTTTTTTAAAATCATAAATGTATGTTAATCTATATTGTATTTTTAGCGACTGCCTTTTGAAGTCAACAAATAAGTTAGTAGAGCCTGTGTACAATTCATTCTCATTATGAAACTAGTTTTTCAATGGCTTTGTGAGGAGATTAAAAGCAAAAAGCACCACAAAAAACAGGGATCAAAGCCGGATACCCATCAGGAATAAAACTCAGGAGTTTAAAGCAGCAGTTAGGAAACCAAAAATATTTTATTTAACCAATTGAAAAATTGATTCATCCAACATCACAAAGTATAAAAAATGAAAACATTTTTTTAAAGCTTCTAGTAGAGCAAATAAAAAAAGTCACTGATGATTGCAATAAGTTGTGATTTGCTTCATCAAATTCATTCATCAAACATATTAAAAATTAGAAGGTACTCTACAGCTACACAAGAGCACAAAAGCGCATGTACTTCCTGCAGAGGAGAGCCCACCTGTCCCCACCCGTCCTCATGACCTGCTACAGAAGCACCATAGAGAGCGTTCTGAGCAGCTGTCTCACTGTGTGGTGTGGAGGCTGCAGCTCCTTAGATCGGAAGAAGGTGAGAAGAGTAGTTATAAGAGCATTCCCTCCCTAAGACATTTCATCCGAGCACTTCGTGACTCAGCCTGTAACATTATCAATGACCCCTAACACCCCCACAATGGACTGTTCTCCCTGCTGCCCTCTGGGAAGAGGCTTCGAAGAATTCAATACAGGTCAAAACAGCTTCTTCCCCACCGCCATCAGAATGTTGGGGGAAAAAAAGCTGAATGTTGGAAGAAAAATGAAAAAAAAAAAAGCTGAAATTTGAAAAAAACAAAAAACAAACTCCAAATCATGTACCAAACTGACCATATCAATGCATTTTTTGCACCATTATTTTTTTCTCCCAATGTTTACATTTGATCACCGCTGCTCTTTAAGAAATGGAAATTTCCTGAGAGCTGTAGTTAACCGAATTTTGCTTTGTATACACTCTGTAACAATAAAGTTTGCCTAAGTCTCTGGTGAGATGGGACCAACATCTGACACAAAATCTACTCTGCAGCCCTAACACTTCATTCTCTAAGTGTCACATGGCGGTTCCAGCATGGAGCCATGTATGTGAAGATGTTTCCCTACAGGACAATCCTTGGAAGAAAATTTGGTTTTGTGGTGGTTTACCTTCCAGCAGGACAGCTCTAAACCAGTGCAACATGAAATGATACATCAGTGTGTTAGATTGGCTCATTCCTGATCAAAACTAAGAATTTCAGAAAAAAAAATCCATGCCCTTATGTTCTCTATAAATGTGGGACAGGGCAGCCTCTAAATGTGCAAAAACAGGGTGGCATAAGATATAAACAAAAACCTTTAGCTGTAATTGCTTTGAACGGAAACCTTGACTCGAAGGGACTGAACACCAACGTGCATCACGTTCAGACATTAGAAAAATGCTCTAAAAAGTTTTACATTTTACTCAATTTTAGAAAAACGTTAATTGAAAAGGGTAATTAACATGCATTGATAAACTCAATTGAAAAACGTATGCGAGAAGCTGCATTTCAAAACGTATGGCCTAAATATTGTGGCATGCTTCTTCAAAAGCCAGAGGATAAAAACACCACTATAGGTAGGTGGACAAAAAGCAAAGACACAGAATTGTATGAAAACATTTTATTTTTCACTTTCTTTTAGATGTAAAGTTACTTGTCCAGTGGTTAATTTTGAAAAGCAACATTGTGCTCCTCCCACTATACTTCATTGTTGACAAGTATGAACAAATTGATCTCAGACCTCAAAATGGAAACTGACATGAAATGATCTTATAACTCTGAAGACTCGTCTTCAAACAGGTTTTCCATAACTTTTAACAGCTTTAGTCTCCATATGGCTAAAGCACAGTACAGCTGAAAATGCTAGAAAAGTTAGCGGTTTTTAAACTAGATCATAAGGTATTAATGTTTGTCATCATAAAAGGGGAATGGCAGTTAATGTAGCAGATTGTTCCCTAGTTATGTTTGTTTCCTCTTTTTCCTTTTCTGTATACTTAAAATGTTCTGTCTGGCTCCTTTAAAATCTGGGAATTAAAACAAGGTTTCAAGGGAACACATGAAGTCGTTAAAAATAACTGTCTTATTCTTTTTAACCCTTTACTGCATCATATCTTCAAGAAAAATAATGGATAACCCATGTATATTTTTAAAAGTGAATGTAAACTAGAAACGAGTGAAAATACATACAATGTTGCTGTCAAAAGCAACAGCATTAGCTAAGTTTTTAACTAATAAAGCAAAAATTAATTCTACAAATATCTAAACTAAACATCAACTTGTTTTAGCAAAAATTCTCAGATTGGGGACTTTCAATAAAAGAAGCACATAACACCAAAATGAGGACTTGCTGTGCATCTCATTGACTTTTAAACAGGCCAATTTTCCTCGCTATTGGACCATATCAGGGAAGAAAAGAAACTTAAATGATTTTATCTATGAATACAGTAAAGGGTTAAGATAAATATCGATCTGACGCAGGTATTTGTTTAAATAAATGTTTCAGTTTAATTAGTCAATTATTTAATCGGCAGAGAGGTCAAGAAAACTTGTGATATTTAGCCTCAATTTTCTTTGGGGTCTTGAATGTTTTCGAAAGGCAGTTTTATTTATTTTTTATTCTGCTGCTTCCGTGTCCTCAGCTGGCTGTCCTGTTGCGTTTTCTGCAGTCTTTGAGGCCTAGAGCACAAAAGAAGGGAAGGATAATGGATGAGAGAGGTAAAACAGGCTGATCATTCGTTTCGTACAGCTAAAGGAAGTAAATAGCAGCACACTATCAAAATCTGAAATGTCGGCTGTGTCTGAATGTCCACCCTCAAGGCTGATTTATACTTCGAAACTAGGTCGTCTGCGTAGGTGTCGCAGTGAACAAAAAGATGTCCCCGACCCCTCCGCAGACAGTCTGCTGCACCTCTCCCAAACTGTAGGTGACAGCAGACAGTGCTGCAGACCGGAGGCTGGCTTGTTTTGTTTTTATGACCGTATTTGTGCAAAACAACTCATGAAGTTGGACCAGCTAGAAGAGCGAGGTGCGTGAGAACGCTGGCACCCTTTTTCCACCTGGATACCCGCTCTTTTTCGCCCTCATGTTCCTCAGTTGTCGGAAAAACTCGCCCCCGCTTCGACCGTCTCTAGACCCACAGCTAGTTCCTGATTCTCTTGTGCATAAATCAAAAATGTCTGCATGAAGCTCACTGCGGCGGGGAGTATAACCAGCTCAGAAACACCTAAATCACCAGGTAGAGCGGGGACTATATAGTGGACTTTAGAGTAAACTCAGTTAACTGACCCTTTAGACAGATGATCACTACTTTTTGTTCCCCGTCGGTCATGTGTTTCCGCCTCCCCGTACGGTGACCTTGTTATTTGGTCACCACAAGCCGCTGTGACAACAAATACCATAATGCTTTGCTCTCCTCGCAAAGCATTCCGGGATACATCTGCTCCTCTAATGACCATGGATGATTACTACTCATCAAGGTGCATTCATCTAAAATGGCGTAAACACTAAATAGAGCCCTATATAGTGGTTAGGGCGGACATTAGGACACAGGCTTTTTTTTCTGGGCATCATTTAGTGTCATTACTGCCTCATTTACCTTCTTTTTCTTTTTCTTCTGTGTTTTACGGCTTGCAGAGCTCTGTAGTAAAGCCTACAGAGGAGAGGGAGAATCTTAGACACATATTGTTCACTTGTTAGTATGAACCTAAATCATAACGTTTCAGACTAACCTTTAGCTCTGGATCCTGAACTTCATGCTCTGACTTGTAGAGCTCCGGGTCAAAGGGTCCATTTGTGATTCTATGAGGCCCATTTGCCATCAGCAGCACTGTGAACTTAAACTGTGCAACAAATTCTCCTGAAAGGGAAGAAAATAATGGGAAAAGGTTAATCTTACTAAATTAAAAGACATTGAAATGGTAGTTTAATTCAGGGGTTAGTGCACACAAAGTGATGCATTTCAGGAGGCAAGGAATTACCTCTATAATTGATAATAGTTTGGGCTTACAGGAAACAAAGAACCTAAAGTTTAATTTTCTTGAAAATTAGATTATGCAAGATTATAAAAAAACTTTCAATATGGTTACGTTAGGGCCTACACAACCTCGGAGAAGACTGACTGGCTACGCATAGGTGTTACATCCACTCACATGAATGGAAAGTTGAGTTGAAGGGGAAACTGGTGGTGGGAAAAAGCACAAAAGCAACAGAAATAACTAAGAGAATTTTGGACTTCCTTAGAATCTCAGCAGAGCCATAGGTTGATCGTCTTCACATCACACTACTCTGATGTATAGATTTAAGTTCTGGATGCATACACTGTGCAGCAAGGATGCGTAATTAGTTGCATTTTCAATATAATCATAATTTAACAAAAGGCAGTTTTGAAATCGAAGAGGATCTCAGTTTGTCACATTACTACAGTGGATCAACAGGTGCAAACAAGTAGCAAATGGTGAAATAAGCTGCAACAAAGTACCACGGAAACTCCAAAACATCCAAACAAAAACAAAGACAGACAACAGAAAAACACTGCAAACAAAAATGCTGGGATAACGGCAATAGAAGCAAAAACCTACAATATAAACAAAAGATGCTGTGACCACA